AAGTATTGCCTACAACCACTGAACCAAGTTATCCTGTGACACAACCAAGGCATGTACATATTGCGTACAACTTCTGTATCGGATAAAAGCTTTACTTAATGAAGATTGTATTTGACTTAATTTTTTTTTTTTCCTCAGATTCCACAAAATGATGTCCCTCACTCAAGACAGAGCAGTGGCTACCGATCAGCCGGCTACAGAGTCACTCAACAGATGGGGGTACCTCCTCCCCCACCCCCTAACCAGGTTGGGGGTATGGGCCACCCTCCCCAGGGACCCCCACATGCGGGTGCGGGGCACCCACCAATGGGTGTGGCCCACCCAATGACACAGCAGAACCACACCCATATTCCCCCACCCCCACAGATGACAGTGGGCTACAGTCATGGAATGGGGCTTCCACCCCCGAGTCCTGGACAGATGTCGCCACCACCTCCACCGCCTCCTATATCTGGGAACATGGGACCTTATACGGCAGGTAAGTTGATGTTTTAAGAATAATGGCTCTTCAGTAAATGAATTGTTATCATTGATGACTACAATGATTTTGAAGTTGACTGTGTGCTTACATCTTTGTTGTTTATGCCTATCAAGGTTGATTACTAAGGCTGTATTCACAGCAGTAGACTAACAGATCCTCGGATCAAATATGGCTGACCCACTTGAATGTTTGTTGCATAATCCCCCAGGGAATCTATTCAGTGTCTATTATGGATTTACGCGGCAAGCTTTTTACTGTGTCACCATATTTGTTAGTCTCCTTATGTGAATGCAACCTATGCCTCTCTTAAGAGCTTACATGGCTACTGCAGCAAAATGGAAAAAATGGGATTTTTTTCCTTTGGAGAGGTTTGATTATTAGATTTTATGATTGGTTGGGATTTGGACAAATTTTTGGAATTGGTAATTGCATGCAAATTAGAATTTAGTATTTATTACTAATTAATTAACGGGGAGTATGAAGAGGTTAAAGGTTAAGTTGTTTTGGTTAAATATTTTTTTTTGCATGAATATTGCAGATAGAAAAAGTAGACTGATTATTTGAAGATCTTACACAATAGATTTAAAGAATTTGAAAAGAAAAAGCTAACTAGTGAAAATGGCCACTGTGAAATTCTTTAAAATGACTTTGAAAATGCCGAACAAAAATTATAATAATAATATGAAAACACTTTTGAAGGGAAAAAATGATAAAACAAAACATATCTGCCTATTTGTCCCTCTTTACAAATTTATTCATATCAAGACAATGCAAAAAGGTGAGGATAGCTTTTTTTTTGGCTTGAGAAGGCTTTGTGGCCCATTTAAAAGCTTGTTATAATTGTTGCCTATTTTATGCCAATTTATAATTTATACCTATTCAAGGATATAGTCAAGGGTTTTTTTTTTTTTTGCTGTAAATTAACATGCATGCCAGGGGCACAGTAGCTTAACATTTGCCTTCTTCCTGCTTTGATCTGTAGACCTAGCGGAGCCTCCACCCCCACCCCCACCTGCCATGGGGTTCGAGAATGGACCAGCAGGCAATAGTAAGTAGTGGTCTGACTATATGACCCTTGGTTTGAGCAGATGTGTGTGTTATACTTTCCTCCCCCACAAAACTGTGTAGAGAAAAAAGTGCATTATCAGCATCTGTAATGACTCCTGTTTTTAGGTGGTAAGATTATTATTATTCTAGTTTGATTAGCTGACTTGATGAGTTTTCAGTAATATTTTTTTAGACCTGTCTCACCATTACTTAGAGTACAGACTAAAATGATGACTTAAGAGGGTGATTTTTGATTGCCATGTTTGCAACATGTTTTGTTGAAAAAAAAAATAAAGAAAGAAAGAAAGAAAGAAATCAATTAGAAATGAATATCAGATGTAGTCAGGAAGAAGCTGTAAATGCATTTTATTCTTATCAGTCCAGACTTTGGTTTCTTTTCTTTATGAACAAACCTCATGCTCTTGCTCTGACTTTAGCTGCTGTTCAATTTATTTGCATGTGTTATGTGATCTAGTAAATACACCCATATGAGTTGATAACTTGGGCTGTGTTGGGTAGCTGCATGAAAAATACATAAGCACACTTTTACAGGTGACACGAATGTGTCTTCCTTTAACTTGATATTGTTTTATAAAAAAATCTTCCACTTATGTTGTTGATGCTCACCTGATGCTTGATATGGCTTAAAGAACTGTGAAAGTTTTTCTATAACAGTAATAACCTAACATTTTCAGAATCCTCACCTTCGAGATGATATTTTACAATTTTAACATTTTACATTTTCAGACACTCACAACATTTTAGTTTCCGACTTGAAAGTCACCTAACTCCTCAAAACTTTTGAATCAACATTTTAAGTAATACTAACATAATACTTTTGGGAGAAATATTAATTCATGTTATTTAAAATTACTGAGTAATCACTGCATACAGGCTTACTAAGTTCTCCTATTTCTCAGGTGCCCTGCTTGTGTATCTGATTCTTAATCCCTCAGTCTTCCTTTTCAGTACTACTCTCAATGCCATGTGTGCTTGTATTTCCACTTTGTATGCATTTTTCAAATTGTATTTTTGGGATATAACTTTTCTTAGGGCTCACTATTTTCTTTGTATGCACACAGTTTGCTTTCTTTAATCATTTCAGTTTGACAGTATTCTGCTTGCAGTGTTTTAATAAGTGGATGCTCTTGGTTTAGTCACACAATTTATGTATAAATCCTTATTAATGTCTTGATATTGAATAAATATATATATATTTTTTTTGCAATCACAGAATCTATGGATTCTGTGAAAATTCATTTTTCAGCTGAAAGCAGAACTAACGAGAACTAAGATCTGGTATCAGATGGTCAGGGTGGCCATCTCCCCCTAATTCTCCATATTGAACTGCTTTCTTGCTACCATTTTTTATAAAGTATGTGTTTCATAGCTCCAAACATACTAGTAGCTCCAAACATTTACACTATTACAGATAAATTGTCTGTCTTTAATTATAAATATCATGCAGTAGCATAATATTGCAGCACTTGTGTATGTTTGTGTATGTGTTTTTTTTTTATTTGTATGTATGTTTATGTGTGTGTGCGTGTTTGTTTGTTTGTGTACATATTTTAATAACACTTTCCCACTTCTGTTTTATTTCTATTATTTATCAGTCACTTCAGACCTGCCTCCTCTGCTGGAACATGAGGAAGAAGAAGATGAAGGTATTTTTCATAGTGATGTTGAGGGGTTATTTCTTTGTTTCCAATCATGCTTTTTATGTCTCTGTTGTGGTATATTGGTGTGATGTGGTGTGCATATGTCTATTATGCTAGATCTCTAAATTGTACAATTATGTGGACATGTTGTTGGAAATGTTCACAAATTTTGTAGTTGGTGCAAATTATGAGGTGACTTAAATGTGTCTTCATGGTGTCGTGTTAGCAGTGGTATGTTGGAGATGATGAAAAGTTTTTATACTAATGATGTGATTGGTATGGCTGTACTTCTGAAAAGTGTGACAGTGCAGTTGTTGTAGGTGTCACATGCCATTGTGATAGGTGTGATATGCCATTGTGATGGGTGTGATAGTGCCATTGTGATAGGTGTTACTATACCATTGTGATAAATGTTACTGTATTTTTGTGATTCGTGTGACCTTAATTGTGATAAGTGTGACCCTACCATCCTGATCGATTGACTGTAGTGTTGTAATAGATGTTGTAATCCGTGTAAGACCACATTGTTAATGTGCTGTATTAGGGATATTGAAGGTTTCAACTTTTCTTTCAGTGTACACTCTATATGTATGCTAAACTCTATTTTTTATAGCTTGATGGAGTGACAGAGAAAGCATATATGTTTAGGTGACAGCACTTTGAGATTCTTGGATGGGCACAGTTTTTGTTGTGGTGGCAGGAAACTGCAATGATCAGTGTTATTTTCAGAAATGTTCATGTATGTTTATTTATGTTTATTGTATTGGTGCAGTAAAAAATTGTTAATAGAGGCATTAAGGTGAATGTGAATTTTAATGTGTTCCCTTCGACTGCTTATTTCATGCAGCCTTCAGTCTCATCACAATCTTTTTGTTAGCGCAGTCGTGTACAATTATACCTTTATGCCCCATATTTGTAAGTTTCTGATGTCATTGGTCTTTCCAAATGTCTGTATTCCAGTTCTTTGCATAAAGCATTTTTTCTACTCTATAGGAGGCCACTGTTAGCAAATTTTAGCCATGATTTGTAAACTCCATTGCCTCAGCTTTTATTAGACAATTTTTATATTAAAAGGATCAACATGCAAAGCTCTTTTCCTAAACATTTTGTTTCCTATTCCTTTTTGTATCGATACCGCTTTGACAGACATTTCTTAAACAGTCTTGTATTATGCACAGATTTTACAAATGAGTTCCCAGGTGCAGTGAAGATCAGTATTTTCACTAGAAAACCGTTGTTTTTCTTCAGAGAGCTGTTCATCAAGTTTGGCTTCAGAAAACTCAAGTGAAGGTACCTTTCTGTTACAGCTCTGTTATGATGTAAATTTGGTGACAGTTGAAGCTGTTCAGGTGTAGTCTGTTGTATGTCAAATGATATTTAAGTAACTCTGTTGTCTTTGTCTGTACATGTATTAAAATGTTCTTAAAACATTTAAAAAATATTATGAACAGATGTAACACATACATAAATCTGTTGACAGCACTAACTGGCAAACTTGTTCTTCTTAACTATGTAATCAGAGAAAGGCAGAGGAATCATTTTGTGTATGATCTCCCATTTTATCATCTGAACTCTTTTCCATGTCAGATTTTTCATCTGACCTAGATGAAGAAGGTATTCATTTTGTTTTTTTATCCTTCTTACCTTTTATTCTTAGTAAAATGATACATAGCCCTCTCCCACACATAATACCTTAAAGTGATTTCTTGTAATTATAAGAGGGTTAATCTTAATGTTTACTGCTTTGCTTGACAGAGAACAGAGTGGACACAATGGTTGAATTTGCCACCGGTATATAACCATATCAAGCACAAAGAAAAAGTGATTATTGGCTAAACCATGCATTTTATCAAAAATCTTATCAGCAAGATAGGGCAATTAAGTATTGGTGGAGAGTATCTTTGGAACCTATGTCCCCTCTCCATCCTCAGCCCCCCCCCCCCCAAACCCAATGATTCAAGATTTGAAATATCTGAGGTCTATTTCATTCTTACCTTAGCCCAAGAGCTGAAGATTTTGTGAAACAGATCCCTGTTTGATCATTGAACCTTTCCTTGTAATATCTTTCCAGTTTTGTTAAGCTTAATTGACAATGTTAAGGTTGATAGAATTTTATGGAATTAATCCTCTGGATGTTAAGATTTAGTTGGATGTCATCTTTAACCTTGGCCAATTTGCATCCCAATGTTCATGTTTTTTTTAAATGAATTTGATTAATTCACCTAACAAATGACTACTGAGAATTTATTAAAAAAAAAAAAAAACCTGATAATATCATTTGAGGCTCGGTATTTCAATTTTAATGTACATGTTATTCGAATGAATTAAAATGATAGTCAAAGATACCCCAGCAAGATTTATAGAATCTTAGTATAAGATGACTGTTTATATGCAATTTTAATGAATTAGGACTGTAGTATGATTACTACATGTCTTCAAAGAGAGATTCTATCCTTCCAGCCACACTGTCAGATGCGTTAGATGAGCTAGATGAGGAGCAACACAATGATGTGGGCCAGAACCAAGGTACAAATAAACATTGGTGGATGGAAGATTAAAACCATCTCTTGGCAATTGTAGGCAAAATTGTAGATGAGGACAATTTTACTTTAACATTTAAAGCATAATGATGGGAATTGCTTTTGTCTTGTTTTGCTGTTATCACTGTTTTTTTGGGGGGAGAGACAAGGAGGTTCCTTTGAAGCTAGGCATTCTTTTAAGTCTGCTTTGGTCTTCCCTTGATCTGTCAAAGAAAATATGTGTCAGATAACAGGATCTGTGTTTCCTTAACAACATTTTGTTGTACATCTAAATGTAAGGTGTATTGGTCTTTGTAACAGGTATTGTAATTAACGTCAGCATTTAAGCCTCCAGGTGACTGTCCTGGTTGTGAGAGTCACCAGAACTTTTGCCATGCTCTTTGACATGCACAATTGTTGTTGTTTTTGTCAGTGGTTGCATATTGTTTCATTGGTCAGTTTTATGACACTCATTGTCAGTGGTTTCTAAGAGAGAACTTCAACTTACTTCAACTTCAGTCTCATGCAGTTAACAGTTTGATTTTTGAAAAGTCTGTTTCCAATACTAAGGGTCCAACAGCTGTGGTCTTTCTTTGTCAGTCTCTTTTGTATTCTTTTTTTTTTGCTTATTTGCCCACTGTTCCTTGACTAATATAGCCATGTTTAATACCCCCTTTTCTCAGAGAACTTGGTACTTAGTGTAAAGAGTAGTGAGCTGTAATAACAATTTTCGGCAGTTGGTATTGTACAGATGGTTTAAAGGGACACTCCACAGTTGATAACTTACTTTGTCAAAGAGGTAATATTTAAAGGCAAGAAGTTGTCCCTTTAGAGGAAAATGTGTTTATTTATTTTCGCTGTTCTTACTGGTCTGCGCTTTTGATTATTGATTGATTTTCTTAGTTGAGCCTCCCTCTTGGACATATCCAATGAACAGTGAAGAAGTCGAGTTAGAAGGTATGAGATATGAAGGGTCTAAATATTTGGCATATCATACAGATTCATTGTGTCTCTTAATGATCTTTATGAGGGATAATTAAGAATTTGTAAGGAGTTCAACAAGAGGTATTCGTTGTAAATCTTGTTTCAGATATAAAGCCAGGAGGACTAATGGTTATGAAACATTAAATCATAAATGTGTATGAACATTATGAAGATGTTTCCAAATTCCTTGTTTCTATGTGTGACATTATTTTTGCTGACAAAATGAGCAAGGAAAAAACATTATTTTTGCTTACAAAATGAGCAAGGAAAAAACATTATTTTTGCTTACAAAATGAGCAAGGAAAACCTGGTGGTTGATGGGTTCTGGTTGTGTTTCAGACCCCACGTTTTTGCCACCCCCTGTAGAAGCAGACAACTGTGCAATGGATGATATTGATGAAGGTAGTGTCTGTGTTCATTGTTGTTTTGCTCTTCAGTTATAATAAGATGTCTGAAGACAGTCAAGATATTAGTTTTCAGTGTCATATTCTGCCATTGATGTTTAACCCCCCCTAAAACTGGGGTTATATTAAAAAAAAGGGCATTGATTTAGGGTATGATTGTTTTTCAGAGCCAACTTCACCTCCGCCCCCTGAATTAGAAAGTGAAAACTGTATAATTGAGGAGGAGAAAGAAGGTAGCTTTCATGTCTGTCATACCACTGTGATGTTTTAACACTGAAGTGTTTGACTAATAAAACCCAAGACAAGCGCTTTGTGAGAAGTTTGTGATTTTCTTGACATTTTTAGGTTGTTAAAAAAAGGGAGGGGGGTGATTGAGAGAGAGTGATGCAAGCAGGTTTTCTGATAGAGCAATGATGGTTGCTATTTAAACTGTTGAGGTTAATACAAGTTGGCTGATAATTGATTGCTTGTCTTTCAGACCTTCCCCTCCCTCCTCCCCCATTTGGTGCCAATTGTACCATGATCAGTGATTCTACACAAGGTAGTGATTGTGTTTTCTCATGTGCAGTGTTTAACATCATTTTGTGGATTGGCTGACAAACAGCTGTGAACTCATTGTCATCTTCCTGTATTGTCATGGTAAAATGCCCATGTGATCAAACAAGGCTTTAATTTGGGGAAAAAAATGGTTTCTTTTGATTTCAACTGTCAGGTACTCCTTGCTTTCCAGACCTTGCCTATTTTCCACCTCCACCTGGTAAGGACTATGGTTCGTCTCAGGAAATTGTGCAAGGTACCTTGCTTGGCTGTTTTCCTCTGTGCTGTAATTTGACATATATGACTGTCTGTATGTGTGGTGTTCCAGTCTGTGTTCCAATCTCAACAGCTTTTTTGAAAAAATACAAACAGTTGTGGCCTTGTGGTTTTTTTCTACTATCGAATTGGAATTTAAACATCAGGTTTTATGTTGTTTTTCAGACCTCACCCTCTTACCGCAGACAGCTGATAATGATAATGGTGCAGCTTGTGAGTTAGCAGAAGAAGGTATCTTTGATGTCTTACTCCCCACTTCCCATCCCCAGTGCAGCAATTTTATTTATTTAATCTTGACGGAATGACTAGCTGCTGTCATTCAGCCAAATAATTCAGTGCAGACAGCTTAGTTCTTTGTAGCAATTGACATCATCAGTTTTCATGAACGGTGAAAGTCATGAAAATTATATATGTAAATCACAATTTTGTTTCAGGTCCTGTGGACCTGCCACCTCCTCCCACACACAATGGATATGCTTCTCCAGAGGAGTATATGCAAGGTAGTGCTTCTAGTTCTGCTCCTTGCCATAGATTGATTGGATATTTAGAATGGAAAACGGTTGCTTTTTCACTCGCTTCAATGTTTGTGCATTTTAATGTTCATGCAGGTCATAAAAGATTTTGTGGCAATTATATGATCATTTTGTGTTCAAAAGTTGTCATGTCTATCTCAGTCCCATACCCTAACAAACTTTGACAGTAAGCAAACAAAATGTTTACTGGTAATTTATCAGATTAGTTCTTAAGCTGTCATCAAAAAGAAAAAAAAAACAACTTTCTATTAACATTTCCGTTTGGTTTATTGACCATTAGTCTGAAATTTTGTTTAATAAAAGAGGATTATATTTCAGATACAATCACTTTGCCTCCCCCGGAATATTATGAACTAGAAGAAATAGCACCAGGTACCTTGTGTATGACTCCTTCCCTCTGCAATCTCCATATGGTTGTTGGCTCTTTGCCTTCACTGCCTTTAGTCCTGGGAATTGTGTGTTACTTAACTGATGACGCTTCCGATTTGATGTTCTGTTTTTCCTTGTTTTTCAGAGTGATTGTTTACCGATAATGTTTGTAAGATTGTCAATTGATTGTTTGCCTATAATAGTTAATGTGTTGATTGTTTTTCCATGATCAAGTTGGAGATTCTGATTATATTCTTATGCTGTTTGTGAAATTGATTGTTGACTTCATGTTTTATGTATGTTAAACATTGTATCACCTGAAATGCCTTTCCTTTGTGCATCCCTTGTGCTTTTCATGTTGAGCATTTCGCAATCTGTTAAGTCCTTGCATTGTGTAAATTTTCACCTTTCACAGTTAGCAAACAATATGATATTTCACATCACGTATGTGTGACTTTGATGACATTTTTCTATTAATCTTGCTCTTTTAAGCAGTTGTCATGTTGCAAGAATTATGTAATGAACTAACACAAGTTTGCAAACTTTGTTCAGAAATTCTTTCCAGCTTCACCTACTCACACTCACCTATTCATCCCAATGCACAGGAACGAGCCAAACAAATGTCATTTTCTAGATGCACATATTCTTGCTGTTAGAAGACCTGTAGTTTTAGTAAGTTTTGTTTAATGATGGAAAATCTGAACCTGACTTTTTCAGTCTCACCAGATCTTCCACCTCCTCCCCCTGAACAATCCCAGATGGCTGGAGGTAATTACGATGACTACTCTCCACCCCCTCCCCCGCCAAATTTCATCGATCAGAACGGCCAGCACGAGGAAGAGGAAGTACAGGAGGGACCTGATGATTGGATTCCAAAAAGCTACTTGGAAAAAGGTGATTAGACTAAAAGATCTAATGATAGAATACTGCTTTTATTGAAAATACATAATGGAACAGAAAGAATGCATTAATAAAAGAACAAACAAGCAGAGAAAATGAACAGATTTATAGATAAAGGATTTTAAGTATTTTTTCATGAAGGAAAGATTTAGGAAGATCATTATGGTTAGATATAAGAGCAGTTTTGTGTTTGTAGAATTTTAAAATATCAACGGTAGTGACAAAAATATTAAAGAAAAAAAATTACACTGAGAATATATTGATGTGATGTTTCTTCTCTATTTTCAGTTATTGCTGTGTACGACTATGCACAGGAGAGGGACGATGAGCTCAGTTTCAACGAAAATGCAATGATATACGTAGTTAAGAAAAACGATGACGGCTGGTGGGAAGGGGTATTTAACGGGATGACTGGACTTTTCCCTTCCAATTACGTTGAACCCTGCATATAGTGGGTGGCTTCACACTTCACATAAACACACACTGCTACTGTGATGTTTGGGTAAAAAGAGCTGACTGTTGGAAGGGCATATGATATACTATAATAACAATAACAGCATTATAACAGTAACATATGCAGTAACAGTGCTGTCTTTAGCAGACTGTCAGCTGGTGAGATGGAGGTGAGAAGGCAGTGGGAAGTTTATGTGGGAAGAACAGAGGGGTATCGGTCTGCTGAGCTTCTGTAGTGATGGGAGAAGTCCATTGTTGGTGCTTACGACAGCCAAAACAATAATATCACAAGGACAACAACGCCAGAAACAGTGCTGCACAAAGATGCGACAGATGTGCTGCTGTGGAATACTGATGGAAATGATTGGCGTCAGCAGTACCTTGACATACTATGTAACAACCGACCAAGAGTTGATTATAGCTGTTGATAATACTTTCATTCCCCTGATCATAACAGTAACAACAATCTAATACTGACACTAACATATAACTCGGCGTAAGAAAATTGACTTCTTTTGTCAGTATATTTTTCTGTAAAAGTTAATAATGTACAGTGGTTTTGTGCAGAGGCACATTGGGATCACTTGAAGTATTAACAGGTTGCACAGTTTTCTAATTGGTGACATTAAACACAAGTTATGGTAATGGAGTAGGGGTTAGGGAAGGGCTTACTTCGAGGTATGGGTCAAGTGTAACTGCGTAACCCACTGATAGGAAGTATGTTGAGGTGCATATTTATATCTGTGAAGTTCCATACACTGATTATTTATTTATTTATTTATTTATTTATTTATTTATTTATTTATTTATTTTTGACGAGTGAAATCATAGTATTTATGGACAGTTGCATCAGCCTGTCCTGTACAATATATTATTGAATTGAGCAGCTTGCTATTCAATGGCTTCCACCTAAAAGCAGCACACATTGGCCTGAAGTTATGCACATGCATTTTTCTTTGCAGTTAGATATATAATTATGGTGAAGAGTAAATACTTTCTAAATAGGTTAAACATGTATCTTAAGTGTGATACCTTCTTTGAATCACATGGATTGATCACCTGACTGACCTGTTGATATGAGCTTTATTAAAACTTTTTTTTGCCAGCATTAAACCTATGAACCTAATAAAAATATTATTTTACTGTTAATATGTATTAGGCTGTAAAAAGTTGAGTAACACTATTAAAAAAAAGTTAAAATACTGGGTAAAATTGGAGGTGGGGGGTGGGGATTTAACTAAAAAGCTATTGTTCATTGGTATGACTGAAGGGACACTTAGCTGATACAGACACCCCTCCCCTCTTGACTAGAACTTTTTTTTTTTTTTTTTTTTTTTTTTTTTACAAAATTCAACAACTTACTTATATAGGAATTGGAAGAAATTTTTATGTAGAGGGAAATTCCCTGCACTGAGTTATAAATAGTGACTAAATGAATGAACAACTTAAAATGCCTTGGAATAACTGTAGGTTCAAATGGGACAAAAATGTATTTTGACGAAATGTGCACTGTGTAGATGATAAAATTATTATCATAGCTTGAACTTTTCAATATCTGCACAGAATTTGAAAGCTTTTAAGGCTGCGAGAGATTTAGTTCAACGCTTTGGACTTCTTCAGTTGCTCAGAGGCTGTGCCTGTGGAAGACTGTTCATTAGGGTACAAAAGTCCACTGACGGCTTTAGGTTTACCAGTTGTATGGTACAGGATATGGCAGTTATAGTCTAAATCTTAAGATATTGGAAGATATTGGTAGCGTTTAAATGTTCTAGCAGTTGTACTGTTAATGTATGTCCAAGTCTTGTGTAGTTATAAAATTAACAGCTATTGGCTGATGAAATGATTTGTATGTAGAATAATAAGGGCTCATCCATTCAAGGGGCAGATTTACATTATAATAGTTACAGTGAGGTGGCATGTGGAGAAAACAGTTCTATTAATTGTTTTCAATCATAGCTACATTAAAATATTTAATTATAAATCAAATGTTTTTTTTTATGGAAAAAGTTTGGGATACACACTTGAATTTTGCACATTGATAAAGAATAGTTGTATTTCATTTTCATCAGCCCAATTATACATGTAATACTATTTATTAAATCTTTTTACTCTGTACAGTATGTATATTGTGAATAGTGTAAGTAAAAACATGTCAAGTTAACAAAGACTGAAAATGATTTCTGTAATAATCAAAGGAAGGCAGTCTTATATGTTTAGTGACCCCGATATTTAGAAGGTATAAAAAAGGTCGTAAGGAATTTGTCCTTGAGGTGTGACTGACAAAATATACAGGAAGGATAGGGAAATTTTTGATAGTTGAAAAATAAGAGAACATTTGGTGGCAATCTTTTTTATTCTAAGTCAGTTTGAAAAACGCTCCCAAATGGAGGGTTTCAACTTTTGCAACTTTGCTCAGTAACAGCCGATTCATTTAGAGTTCATTGTGCAGTTTTCACAAACATATGAAAGATGGGGTTATAATATATTAGATTGAAGAAATTGGGTGGAATTTGCTAAGGTTTTTCCTGTAGGGTTGAGTAACATCTTATTACATCTGCCAGATTACACATAGAATTGTTGTGATCATAGAATGGTCTGCCATCATAGAATTGATTCATGTACATATATTTCCCCCCCTGAGACTGCTCACGCTCCCAAACATCCATGGATGTATATTATTTACAATATTTAACATATCAAATAAATAGCTATCTCACAAAACTTCACATTTGCTGATTTTTATGTCACGTTGGTACTGGAATTATCTTTTGTATGGTTACTGGTGACGGTAGCAATCAGATTTTGACCTGCCTTGACTTGGTCTCCATTTCAGAAAGATTTTAATAAGTCGGTCAAGATCAAATAATTTTACTTGAGTACTTTACATGAAAGAATTGCTAAGACTGTATTTAGCTTTCTGGTTTTTAGTTACGACTTTCAAACCATCCTTTGATTGGTAATTATAAATTAATCAGATGTAGGACCAAACGAATCAACTCTTGCAGTACTCCATACTGTAGCTCATAACATGACAATCCACTTGTTATGCAAAACATTTATTCAGAAATTTTCATCTCCTACATCCCATTAAATTTACTCCATCAGACATTAAATCATTCATACATTTGGTTAATTACTCATCTGATTAATAAAATCCTAATAATTATAGATGCATTAATTCATAAAAGCTTGAGCTATAATCATACATACATACATACATTTATACCATCTGACTTAAAACCTTCATAATAAAAATACACATGATTACAATTATTTTTGCAACATATAATTTTGGAATCAGGCCATTAGACCTTTCGAAAAGCTGAATATACAATAAAGAAAAAAAAAAAAAACTAGTGATTTAGGAAAAATACAGAAATTGAAAGGAATTCTATTCACACTATGCATTTCTGTAGTTAATAACATTCACACTTACACTATTACATCAGATTTACAATACCGTTCACCAATAAGCACCATATAACACGAACTTTCTTCACTTCTACAATGTGCTATCATTGCTCTGCAAGTTATAAAAACCCATGTGCAATTTAAACCTTACTATATGGATAACAATGCCGGCGTACAACACCAAATACATTTCCACTGCTACATCTGATTACTAAGACAACATTCACCTGTAACATTTCATACACAACTACGCCACATGCCATCTTATCCATTTGAGTGGCAATCTCAGAATGGTTATGATTCTCTGGAAAAGCCTTTGTATCATGCTTTCATAGAATATATACTAGTATGTGTGCTGTTTCTGCTGAGGCAAGATTCAAATACAAATCTTATCGTTGACTCCGGGGCTTCCAATACATATTCTACAACACAAGCATGGGAAGCATACTTAAGCACAGGGTAATTGTAATAGGATTACCTGGGTTTGACTGTAACTGATTTCTAGCTATCTACAACAGACCTCGAGGTTAAAATTCCATATACTACTATACTACCATACAGTGTACACAAGTGCGGAAGCTCCATTACTCAGGGAGCCATATTGAATAAGGAAGCCATTTTGAATATGGAAGCACTACACTATACATGTTATTGCACCTGTAGGTCTCACTGATTGTCCGTCTGCAATTCTGCACCAGATGACAAGGGTATTTTTAACCCCCCTGTACTTAAACTGATGGAACTTCATGCACACATGAACATTTAACACACTGAATATATATATATTTACTCATATGATCCTTTCATAGGATTACTGTACATCATGGAAGACTGTGAACTGTTGTTGGCTTACAGGGAAGACCAGATTTTAACAGCCTCAGCAAAATGTTGAAAGTTTTTATATTAATCAGTTATCCATAGCATTTATCCAGGAATGAACTGCCCAAACGTAAGATTCCTTTCAAAAAAAATCTCAACATTTTGTTGGGAAGCACTTAACACTACTTAAAACCCTGGAGGACACTGAACACATAAGATACTGAACAGAGTAAACAACCAAAATCTGAAAGCTAAAATAGGCTAAAATATATAAAATATACATCAAGTGTATCATATCATTTCTAAAATCTGGCAGCTCAAAACTTCATCAACTATATATTATTAGTTAGGCCAGATAAAAAGAAATGCTATCATAAACCTTTACAAAATAAAAAATATTTTCTATACTGCATTATTTTTTCTTTTACAAAATAACTACGTCCTACATCCATGACTACATGGCTACTGACTACAGTAAGTTATATACAGGTAGCACCATTATATCAGAGTATTCATGATTCAGTTATCAGAAAATCAATAATATAACACAATATCAATTCCCTGGGTTCTGGGAGGAAGTCCCTCGATCAAGGGACTCACCCACCTTCCAAGGTGAATGTAATGACGGTAAAGTTCACCTACTCAAGGAATAAGAACATATCATATACAACAGAACTATGCTAACTGTAATAATGATAATAATAATAATAATGCAAGGTAAAAATAACAGATAAATACGTATATAAAATACATCACATAAAATATGGGGATACCAAAATGGCACACCAAAATGTACTGTGACACATAAATGGGACATGAGTTTTTGAGTATTATGTGGTACTGACTGAGCACATGGTTATAAAAAATTCCACTCATGTGTACAACTAGAAGTATTATGGCTATATAGTGAGTAATACTGGGTGGCAAGATTCTTTTTAAGATCCATTGAAAACTGACCAACCAAAAGTACAGAAATATTGGTGTTTGTACAACAAACGCCTGTGTTGCTATTATGCTGATTGTTTAAGGCCAAAATATTAAAATCCCAAAAACTAACTTCATTTTGAACATGAACAAAATTATAATCACCCAACAATAAGCTTTTAAGGAAAAGATTCTTCTTTTTTTTTTCCGGTAAACTAATTAAATACAAAGAATACAAGTAACATAAAATAAACTACCCACAAGCTATCCTGTACATTGTTTTGATTTTAAAGCTCATTACCAAGAGTGAGACAGAACGTCCTCCATCAATGAACACAAAGATGTCTCCAACATCTTCTACAATATTTACAATATATATTTGGGAGGTGGGGAGTGGGGGAGTACACCTATACACACACCTTTTGGCACATAAGACTGAGGATCATATCTCTTGACTGGGAGGGGGGCTGGAGTACACCATGACCCCTCTTAAGATTGATTAATATTATGCCTGATATATATATACTAGACAATTACTATCTGAGTGCACTATATATGAGTATATAATAATAATAATATAGCTAATGTTCCAACTAATCCTGGACTAGAACTTTATACAGTTTTGGCACATATGACACTGACTCAGAGACAGAGGGAACTTTAGTAGAGAAACCACCACTGGTTAAGGTTCTCATTAACCCCTGACAAATAATACAACCATTATTATAAATAACCTGCTACATATAGCATGCATCTTAAATTTACATGCACTACAATCTATGTACAACTTTGGCCACTTGACATAGCTGGGGAAACAAGGATTAGGATTCGATCGACTGGTTCAAATATGGCAGCCATTTCCCTTCATTTGGACATTTTTTTTCAAGGAAGTTGCAATAACTTAATGAGTCACTGCACTACAATACAAAATTCTAATTTGAGCACTGCAGAGAGGACTAAAGGGAATCCAGACGTTCACCTTTGGCAGTATCAAAGGAGATCAATTGGAAGACTTATAATTCAATAATACTGTGTAATAATCCATTATTTCTTAACAATTTTGGCACATCCAAGGTAAAGCAATTTTTCATCAGCCCCAGAAGCTGTCTTTAGTGGAAATTCTTTGGAATAAAAAACACCCATACTCATTTTGAGCGAACAACTAAGATAATACCTTAAAACCAATACAAAAATGTAGATTATGGCAATCTGGCACAAGACAATCCCAAAAATGATGATATTAATACTGATTTATGCCAGGAGATAGAAGGAACTTTGAAAAACTAATATCAGTAGTGAGATCTGACCTGCTTGGAAGCACTTTCCCTATTCTTTGGCACAAGAAATCTGATGAAACTGAGATAAGCTCACATCAACGAGCAGATGTGACAGAGAGCAAGATCAGATTAGCTTCAATTCTGCATTGTATTTCGTAACATTGCAAATTACTGTGGACTTCCTTTGAAAAATAAGGTCCCCCTTGACTGGATAAAAAAAGCTGCATGTTTGATTCAAATCTACCAAATAACTTTCCGTTCCCATGAGACGTGTTCCTTTACACAGCATGCAGATATATTGATATACCATATACAATCAGTGCACAATCACTGCTACTACTGTACACAGTTCACCATACTTAAAACTCATGACTAGAATTTTCTCATCTTAAAATGCACAGAAACCCAGTACATTCAAATAAAACAGACAATATTGCTCCACACAAAATAAAAACAACACAAATCACACTACCTTAACTACTATTATGGATGGGAATATTTTTCAGGTTACTTTGCAAAAACACTACAGTAAAGTAACCTATCTACACCTACGACAACACAGAATGTATACATCCATATGTACAAATATATGATCATATTCAGGCAAGAGTGCAAACCCTTCAGGACTGGCATAGCCGATACCAACTACTTTTACTAAGCATAAGTTATTCCACATATGGAACAAAAAGTAAATGAAAATAAAGTTTCCTTCAAGATATAACAGAGTATATATAGGAGCAGATAAAAATAAAATGCAAAGAATTGCAAATTGTAAACAATATCTTTTTCTACAGTTTAAGATGAATACCCACTATCTGCTTCTCATGGAGAGAAAAAAAATGCACATCAGTATTTGATTCCTGGGCATCAACATTTTTCATCTATTCAACAAAAATAACACATTTCAAGACTGTAAGCCATATCTGCAAACACTGCATTTCTTTACAATCAAAATAAGGCAATCAGAAAGTATATCATTATATAATCTAAAGAACATCGGAACAAAAAATACAAATCTTATTGATCCCTTGAATATGGAATATGCTGTGTGAACAGCAGTAGCTTCATTTCCATGGCAACCATTTCCATGACAACACCAACCACACTGATTTTCATTGGATGGAATTGTTTAATCTACCAGTGGAATTCTTGTAAATGGAATGTTCTATTACATGCTTGGTCTTTCTGAAATAACTTCAATAAATTTCTTGCAAATTTCCTTAAGAACGGATGGTCCCCTTTTAGTATCTCCCAAAAAATACTAAATCAATTTAGGGAAATTTTTCTAGACTTCAAGACTCCTACATCATCCATTTTTTCCCTTTCATCCAAGACAAGGAACCTGTTTAACTCTGCACGCTTTCAGCATCAGACGACATGCCGCCATCTTCCTTCATGGATGGCTTGCAGTACTTGTAGCGGTGGTTCATATGCTGGGAGTAGGAACCGGAGTGGCTGAAACGTTTGCCACACTTCCGACACTGGAATGGCTTTTCCCCAGAGTGGAGGCGCCTGTGCTCTGTCAAGTGGTGCTTGTGCTTGAATGCCTTAGAGCATATCTCACATGTGAATGGACGAGCACCTAAAATGCAAAAAGGAAGAGTGCTTATTCAAAAAAGCTGTTAACTTTTCTTACAATATTTGCCAACATTTCCCTTGCTCTACCTTCAATTCCTTCCAACTAGGAAGTGAGTTTAAAATGATGAACTTATTCTTTAATAAGCAGCAACAGTCAGCAATACTGAGTTAACAACAACTGGACATTCCGATTTGGAAGTATTACTGCGCCAGATAAACTATTTACTTCCAAGGCATCAGCAAGAATTTACAATGACTTGTGGTGCCCCCTACCTGAATGTTCATACTTGTGTCTGGCCAGTGAGCTCTGTTTACTGAACATTTTGTCGCACTGGTCACATGCATACATGCCCTCGTTGTCCACATCTATCTTGTGCTGTTTCCAGGACTTGCGTTTTTTACGCTGTTGCTGCTGCTCCTCATCCAATGTCATGTTGCTGTCACCATCATTAGTATCTATCTCCATCTACAATAATATATGTGTATGTATTAATATTAGATAGTTTTACATGAAAAGAAAAAAAGAAAACCATGAGGAAGTTGAAAATTTCTATATCTGATTCATCTCCTACAGTGAATATCTCAAAGTGTATATTGTAAAAACATTTGAGTACTTGCATCATACCAATATTTTTTTTCTCCTGTATTTCATGCTATTTCATCAACATACTATCTTAATGGGAAAAAAACTTCACTTTTGCAAAGGTACTACCAACTGGCTACAATTCTCATGAACAATATTAGTGTTTTTAGCTATTTTGTAAAAATTACCCTTTTGACCTAGAAGTACACAAGACTATAAACCCATACCTGTTTCCAAGATTTCCTCCTCATCCTCTTCCCAGGTCTGAGATCATCACCATCATCATCATCCACATCTCCGTCACTCACATGGCCACCAGCATCTGACAGATTGGAACTGTAGTTGGAACGTGGACTTTGGCTCATCTTGATTGGAGATGCCACCTGGGCAGCCATGTGCAGTAGCTCTAGCTTGGAGATGAAGTCTTGCTTGATGCGTTCCTCAACTGCCTGAGTGAGGTGTGGGTGGATGGACAAAGGTTTGAACATAGATGGTGCTGATGCTGGTATCTGGAGATGTGCTGGTGAGGGTCCAGGTGCCACCATAGACGGCAATGCCCTCTGGTGTGCAGGAGATGGTGACCTTTGGTGACCTTTTTTAGGCAGCAGTCCTTCCTGCCGCATGTACTTATATATAACAGACTCCTCCAGTCTGGCTGCCTCTTCTGCCTTTCTCTTCTGATCAGGCGTCAGTGAGAGACTTTGCTGTGGCCTTTCTGGAGTCTTTCTGGTTCCCGAAAGATCTAAAACACCAGCAGTTGTTTTCTCACTTCCATGGTTGTCCTTTTTCACAGTGAGGTCAAGGGGTGTATTTTGATCCACTGGCAAAGGAAGCGAGTGGCTGCTGATGGGGCGAGGCACTGGGAATGGGGTTGTTGAGTGCATAGTTGAAGTGGGTGACAGGAAGTTGTTCATCCTGAATGGAAACTGGGAATGATGTTGCTGCATGAAAAAGTTGTTGGTGGCCATGTTTGGTAGACGGTGGCTCTGGAAGCTGAATGGCTGTGGAACTATTGGAATAAAAGGCGCAGAGGTACTGGAGACAGTGCTAGGTGGTGCTGTTGCCAAGGGCATCACTGAAGTTGTAGACGGCATTGGAACTTGCTTCTGTGGTGATGGCGATTCCCCTTGGCGAAACCTTGCCATGCTGGGGAAGTATGGAACAACTTTTCCTAGTTTGCGATCACGGGCACGCATGTTTTGGAACCATACCTGGATCACCCTCTTGGGAAAGCCAATCTCCTTACCTATCTTAGCCAACTCAAATCTCCTTGGTCTTGGATTGATTTCATAGTATTTCTTCAACACTGCCAGTTGCTCCTCATTGATCATAGAACGCACTCTGAACCTCTTTCCGTCTTTATCATACAAGCCCTCGTCACCTTTGTCTGGCAGTGTTTCTGCTTCATCATCAGTATCAACATGCTGTGGAGTAGAACGGCCAGTGGAGGAGCCACTAGTGCTGTCCCCGTCTGAAGACGCAGCCCTCTGGACTTCCTCGTTTAGCTTGCACATGTAGCGCTCGTGCTGGTGCAGGTCCACCGCACTGGAAAACTCATCCTTGCAAAAACGGCACTTGTAGTTGAGGTATTCATTTTGATCATCGAACTCCATCTTGGCACTATCTTCTTGAGAGTGATCTTTGTAGTCTTTCACAGGTTGAAGACTTGCAGGCAGCGCTACTTCTGCTGGATTCTCATCATTTTTCTTCTTGTCAGCCTGGTCACCTTGAGAGATCGGAACTTTGCTTTCCACATCAACCTCTATGTCTTCTGACAAGTTATTTTTTGTTTCTATGGCCTCTGGTTTGATGTTTTCTGCAATTTGCTGCTCTACTTCTTGTAGCTCAGATTCACTATCTACCTCTTTGTGGTGCAGTTCCACCAACTTGCTGATCTGATGCTTATCTTCTTTATGCTTTTGTTGTATTCTCACAGTGGCATTTACTGCATCCAAGATCCTCTTAATTCTCTCCTCAGCCTTCTCTTCAGTGCTGCTCTCTTTTATAGGACTTGTTTCAGAAGATTCCGAAGATTCCTTATCGGTGATATTTGGGGCAAATGGCTTTTCTTCTGAGTGCTCTGCGCCACTATCTGGCTTTGCTGGTTCGGCCTTGTCATCAGGTCGAGTAGGGCTGAAATGGTCCTTCTTACCAACCATTGGAATATTGAGGCCTGGGATTCCATTGGGAAAGGCAAATCCAAATGGCGGAAATGCTGCAGAATGTGGTGGAAGACCAGGCATCATGGGATTGATCATGTGACCTGGCGGGGGAATGTAGTGTCCATATGGAAAAAGCTGTGGTGGTGTACCATTCAGACCTATCTGAGGTAAGGGCATGTTGTGTTGCTGGTCCATAGGCAGGAAATGGCGAGGGAATTCTGGGTAAGTGGAATGCACTTGGGGCTTCATTGGCGTGGTGTTGTTCACTTCTGGCTTGGGTGACCTCATGACTGGTCCACTGTTATCCTCGGGCTGAGATCCATCGCTCTTCTCTCCTCCCTTCATCCTCATGTTCATGACCCAGCATTTCTTGGAGGTCATGTGACTGCTGTAGGACCCGGAATGGCTAAATCGCTTCCCACAATTTTGGCACTGGAATGGTTTCTCTCCGCTGTGGATGCGTACATGCTCTTTCAGATGGTGCTTGAATTTGAATGCTTTACCACAGGTTCCGCACTTGAATTTTCGTAGGTCAGAACTCTCATCGTGGCTGATCATGTGGCGCTGAAGGCGGTAAACGTTTGCAAAAATTTTGTGGCAGGTCTTGCAGACTTGGGATGTTGGAGAGTGGAATGCTAAATGCTTATCTAGCTGTGACTTAAGCACGAAGCCTGCATTGCACCTCTGGCAGACATAACGACTGAACTTGTGCAGTTTGTCGCTGTGCTGGAGCTTGATGTGATCACGCAGGATGTAAAGGCGAGTGAAACCCTTGTCGCAGTATGGACAGTTGAGGCAGTACTCCCCCTCCATTCCTGGGGCATCCATGGAATCTGAAAACACAACACATATAAAATATGTTGAATATTTCTTTCAAAAGTCAACAAAATTGCCTTATAGTATCAAACTTAATTGTTTTCACGAATAAGGTTTGATGCCTGAAAACAACAGAAGTGATAATATTCATAAATACTATATATACTAACATTTCCAAATATTAGTAACTAGATAAACATAAATCAATTAAGATGAAAACTACGTTCGCATGCTGATCTCCATTTTCACAACTTTATCAACTGGATAAAAAATAAAAAAATATTAAGTGCTCACCTTCTTCATTGTTGTTGGTATCTGGCCCGTCTTTGCCATCTTGATCTTCAGGATCACTCACAGCCTCTGGGTAGATAATTGCGGTGTTCCCGCTCAGCAGGAGCTCTTCAATGTTTTGTTCCACATTTGTGTTGGTCCCATCTGCATTACAGAATAAATAATTTTCATTTTAAGATTTTTTAATCCTAACAATAAACTCTAAAGTAATAAATAATAATTACCACCTTTTTATTCACTAACCCCCTTATATATTCTGTGATTACAAGAATCATTCATCAACATTTCACATGAAACAGAACCTTTATGCTTAACTATCATGATTTTAATAAAGAAATTGCAAACAGGTGATATCTAAGAAAAGGAACAAAGGTAAACCCCAGAAATACCCTGTGCAGAATAACAATCTAGGATTAGTTACAAAATTGAGGGCTACCTTTTAACAGTTCCCCGTTCACAACCACATCCTCCTCTTCCTCTGAGGACCCCTCGGCACCTTCTCCACACCCAGAGTGTGCACTCAGTGTGTCGTGGAACTTGTTACATTGTTTACTGGCGTGCATGGAAGCATCACTTGCTGCTGTTATGGCTGTATCTTTACCAATGGCGTTGTTGTTGCTGCTGCCACTGCTGTTGTTATTATCTTTATCTGTGCTCCCTTCTAAGGCATTTTCTAGGTCAACTAAAACAAGATAAGAAATCAATATTAATTTCATAGACAGGAATAATTTTTCATTCACCTCCAATATTCTGACTTCATTTTATCAGCCCTTTGTACAACTTTATAACTGGATTTTTCTTCACAGCTGGCCTGCTGCACATGGCACGTACAGCATAATAGCAAATCAATATAAGTATGCATTTGAAAAATATATATGTACAGGATAAATTGCAAACACCACAACCATGGCCTCTATGAATGGCATGATAAATATTGATTTCTTCTGTCACAGATGTCAAAAGAATTTTTCAACCACCTTTTCTTGATTGCCTAGACATATCAATTTTCTTCTGAAAACTAGAAATTATATTTGCACAAATCAATGCTTCAAATCTTCTCCGTAGTCAATGCAGTTGTCAATCTCTTCTGAGCTGCACACCTGGAAAAGTTACCTGTCACATCTAAACACAATTACCACCTCCAATGCAATCACACCTGGTCTTCATACCTGACATATGGAAATACCTGGGCACAACTCGACACAATCAACATTTAAATACACATTTAGATATAAATCTAAATGCCTGAATACCTCCACTCCCATTTTGACTTAACACACCACACTGTTTCTTATTCAGCACTATATTCACAGTAGAAATTCTAATCTCCTTTGCTATCACTACAAAAATATTACAAATGTTTTTATTTATTATTTTCAATGAAGATAACTGCTTTGATGGTCAACATCCTAAAAACCATCACAAGATGGCACCACTACGCATTTGGGTCACAGGTGTGTCAACCACACTGCCGACAATAGGTGGCAGCACAGTCGACTCTCACTCACTTTACATGTGATCACAGGTGCGGGACGTGACTGCAGATCACAACAGTGAAACAACTGTAATGCACATATAATTCAATTTTCTAATCCACAACAGTCAAATATTCACCGTAATAGCTTTTACCAATGTCCTGTGAGAAGGAAATTACATGCTGATGACAAAGGTATAAAAGGCACACGTGTCATGTAACTCAGCACTGTAATTCTGTTAGCGGTAATCATTTAATGGCATATAACCTACAGGAAATTGCCTTTCAGGTGTATGTTCATGGGCTAATAATAACAAGCTTTTCATGCCAAAATTTATTTTTTAATAAAATGCACAGAGGAGCCTGCACACAATTATGGGACACAATGCAAAATTTATCATATGATAATCGTATTTCACAGGTTCCTGCCCTTGGCTGGGAAGATGCTATAGACAATCAATACATAGCTTGTGTATCACTCATGTTTGCTATAGAGAATTTATCAATAGGCAGAAAGAAGACAGAAAACAAACTCAATATTTTCCCCTATGTCCAGTTTACAAAACCAGGTGTTCCATGTACAATATTATCTTTCACAACAGAAAAACTGGCACTATCAAAATGTCACAGTGAAAAATAAAATAAGCCATAACAATGAAATAATAATAATAAAAAAAAAAAAACTCAACAAGGGCTCTTATGTCAAATATCAACACAGTCATTAGAAAAGGGGAAAAAATGTGCTTGTAAAGAAACATTCTTTCGCCCCACAATTCCTAACCCCAAGTGCTCCACTATCTGAATACCAAGTTAAAGGCCAAATTAGCCACAGAGGTGAAGTGCTTCACCCCCATGTCAGCCCCCCAAATGGTCTGTGTCCTACCGCCTGGCAGTCTGCGGTTGGTCAGAAATGTCCATTAGCGCCATTCAGCACTCCGTTCACCTTCCACACAAGGTGGTTAAGGTGGTTGTTAGGCGCAGGATGTTCCCATTTTCCCAGGCCCTGCAAAGGTGCTTAATGTCTGCTCAAGTCTGGGTTAAATTACTTCAAACTGAAAGACCGCTCTGTGAGCCGATGGTGTAAACTTTTGATCTGAGAGGGTGCCCAGTGACTCACAGTGTTTATGGTGTACCTTTGGTGTTTACGTTTTACCGCAGGTTAATGGAGGTGTGTCCTGTGGGCTGCTTGTACTAACATTTCCAGTTTTTGCCTGCCTGTACTAGCAATTCCAGTTTTCACAGGATGGTCAAGTGCCACATAACCCTCCACAACAGCCACCTAAATTCTTCACTTGAGTCCACATAGTCAATGAATCACACACCTCTTATTAATAACTTTTGTTTCCTTTACTTTCCAACTTGCTGTTTACTTATGAGGAATTCATTTGATCATACCTGGAACTCGACAAAGTGAATAATAGTTTCTCTTTCTGAAAAGCACTAAAATGGCTCTTTGTTCAATCAAAATAACCACCTGTGTTCTATCATCTTGTTTAATTTTTAATGAGGAAAAAAAGAGACCTGACGCAAAGCCCTCCATGATGCCTGTAAGCCTTATACATTAAGGACTTCTGCCCACCTTCAATCTCTTTCATTACCCTAATTTAAGTAACATAACACTATTCTCAGAACTGTTTTTTTTCTAACAAATCTTATCCACTTGACCATTTCTAAAAAAAAGAATAATTCTTAAAACAAATAGGAATTGTTATTTCATTCTTGGCTTGCATCAAACAATTGTGCTGTGTAAGGAAATGAATAACCTTTTACCTTCTGGGGTGAAGTTCATTTTCCACTATTTATATATCTACCTACCACTCACTGACGTCAAGAGCAATTGTTCTACCAAGATACCCCAGATATCTGGACTTATTTTCGTTCCTTTACGTCTCAGCCTCTAAAGTTCAGGTATTCAAAATTCATGCGATGACGTCTACATTTTTTTCTACAATACACTAACATGATAAAAGTATGTACGAATAATGGAACACAATTACAGCTACTATACTATTCCTTCTTTGCATAAAAAGTTGTGAGGACTTTTCAAATAGTTTGTGAGATGGAACTTTTTGTATCAAAGTTTATACACATTGAATCTTTTTACGTTCCTGATGATAGAGTCCACCTAACTACAGTTACCTAGCTCTTCTATTATCTTTGAAACAAAAAAGTTGTAAACTTTCTTCTCTAATTCACACCACCCTAAGTATAATCATACATGTGCCTCTATTGTAACAATTCTGCCATGTGAAATGTGTTTGATGATACCTGTACCGTTATATGTTATTTAGGTGCTAAAATATAATTCGCAATCTCTTATAACAAATACAGGGACTAATCAAAAGATGGAAAGTTTATGGAAGCCCTTAAAATGCCTTCTAGTTTAAACCCTTGTTATGAGATGGTAATCCGTATTTGAATAAGAAAATAAAATCAAAGGAACAACATCACTGGTTTATCGAGGTAATTTGTCCCTCACTGTTCAAATAAACCAATCAGTCATTATAAAAGCACAACCCTAACTCCCTGCCTGGCCCAACCATCCACCTTGTCCCCCCACCAGCTGGGGAACAGTCACAAGGCAGGAACAAAAGCCTTTTATCAAAAGTAAAACAAGAAAGTTGAGCCACCACAACCACCAGCTCCTCAATCATAATATCCTGGGGCAGACTGTACCTGAGAAAACCTTGTACCTGGCATAGGGCAATCTTTTTCATTCATGTTCTGGGCATTGTATCTTGCAGTCTAGGCAACTGGTTGAGGATCATGTGTGCTGGTTCATGAGTATCCATATCAATGGCAAAGTAGGAGAGAACTGATCCATAACATGCATATAGATTTTAGAAGATACACCCATATTTATCTTGGCTAGATTGAAGCAGAAGCAGTTCCAATTTGGTTCCAATTTGGGACTGGAATACCACCGGCTAACTTGAAGAAAGGTGTACTACCATTTCACCTCATTTAGTACTTAATGCATAACCCAACAGGTTGGTGTTCAATTGTTTAAAACCCCCGCCTACTGTCAGCAAAAAATGCTCTCTATAAACAATCTGGTAATTCCCTGAAATGTGAAAAGAAGGAAATAATTTAGCAAGGTGGGTAGCCACACTGTATTCAATGCAGCAGTAGTATGCCTAACATCCCTAAGGATACTGAAAGCCAATTTCAATTACAATTCTGCCAAAGAAACAGAAATGGAAGGGCAGCTCTGTTAAAGTGCAATGGTAAAGGAAGGGGGCCTTATCTACAAGTGAAGTCAAGTACAGGCATTTCCATAACAAATGTGTTAATTGGAATTTTGAAATCTATCAAAGAAAGTTTTGTACAGAAAAGGACTCCCCCTCCCTCCTTTTGTAATCTTTTTTTTTTGTTAAAAATACTGACCTTAAAAATAATTAATCTCAACACTTTCTACTAGACATGCTGAAATTATGCAGTTGTGACTCAACCCTAACTCCAGCTATTAATAAAACCATACCAAACAGGGACATTTTTTTATCATGGCGTCCCTCATCCTCCGCACAACTTTCCCACACCTTGAAGGGTTGACTTCACCTCAACAAAATGCAACTAATCTCAAAAGCAATTCATTTCTCCATGCCATATTTTTTCACTGACATGAAAAGCAGGTGATGGAAACCAAAAACAGATTTTTTGCCACACGTGTCCAAGGTATCTGGAATATAACAGGGGGGAGAGAGAAGTAGCTCATACAAAGTGAAGAATTTTAATCGCAACAACAGTTTTACCTGGTTTTCTCTTTCTCATCCAGTTTTGTTTAGAACCAATGCCTTTATTCCATGTTAACCTATTTGTTTAATGGATAAAGACAATTATTTTAACTAAACCAATTTTATTGAAAGGTTTGGATAAAACAAAACATTAGATTTAGCTAAAAGCATCCTTTAAGGGGACATTTCATCATTTTTTGGTTCATAAACCAAACCCAATCATAACTAGTTATTCGTCCTTTTTTCTACTGACCTGTCATAACACAATGCCTTTGACTAATAAGTTACAGTACTGACAATCATAATGTAACCAAATATAGTAATTTCCCATTCATTTTTTACTACACAGTGTCCAACAACTGGCTGGGTCTACTGGATGTGTCAGGTTGGGAAAGTCTGCTACTTTGGTGCAGTAATCCCCCTGAAGCTGGTTTTCACAAGGCCAGTTTTTGACCGATAGCTACTCTTAACTTT